CCAGATTTAACGAATCCACAACTATATTTTTCAAACAACAAAAAAAAGTCGTGTTTAGGTTGTTTTCTTTTAAAACTTTGAAAGCAAAAAAAAAATACGGCCACCTTTGGCACGCACAGCTGTCATCGCCCAGCAGGGCGATAGAAATAAATCTATCGCCATGAAACGCCGCCAAGCGAACTTCGTATTTCGCTTTGGCTGTGTTCAATTTCATATGCTTGCGGGTGTTCTAATTTTGACAGCGCGAATTTCGCTGTGGTGAGTTCGCCGTTCGCCGGCATTGTATTTCAGCTATGAATTTGAGCGATGGCCCGGAGTATGTTTACTTTAAGGCGATTGCCGATTGTGGCTTCTTGGCAGGCACCTATGACTTCAAAAACCCCACAAGTAGATAGATATCATCCACGACCATATCAACCCATAACGTTCAATTTGGTCTAAAATAAAAAAGGTAATCATATAGGTCTGCAGGGCTCGCCGTCGTTTTCGGAAAAACACAGAGCAATAACGCCGCCACACAGTGCGGCCGAAATCCAAAAGTGCGGCTAAAGTTCGAAACTTTATAGACTTTTTTCCGCAATTTCCTACTAAGGGGATTCGTGGTCGCTAATTACGAATCGGCTGTCAGAATTGCGAAATTCAAAATGGCGGATCCAATTTGGCGTCTGGTCCTGCGAAAAATTTTAAAGTTTTTCTGTGTTCCGAAACTTTGTATGGAAATTTTGTGAGGAAATTTAGTGATTGTAAATAAATGTGCGAAAACATCAACAATTTTTGAAATCGTCTTTAAATTTTTTATTAAAATTAACAATACACCAAGTTTTAACAATTTATGTTTTTGTTTATTTTATTTTCAGAATTTCGAAGTTCAAAATGGCGGATCCAGTTTAATGTCTGGTCATGGTTTTCCTGTGTTCCAAAACTTTGTCATTATCAGGAAATTTAGTAATTGTAAATAAATGTTCGAAAACATCAAAAATTTGTAAAATCGTCTAAAGTGGTTTATTAAAATTAATAACACACCATGTGTCATAACACTGGTCTACAAATTTCAACTTTTTTTCTGCGAATAAGACGG